TTGTCCTTTTGGTGAAAATTTACAGAGCAAATTGGTTTTCCATTCAACAATTTACACACATTTTTTAAATTTTTACCTGGATTGTTAAAACCCAAAGTCTTAAAGAAAGGGATAAATGCTATTCATGCTTCAAGTAGGTATGGAATGGAGATAGAGAGCTAGTAGACCAAGTTACTCAAAAATTTTCCCTCTCAGCCTCAGCATCCTCATTCATCAGCAAGGTTTACCATGACATTTGTTGGTGGCAGGCTCTTCCCACCCCTCCATCACAGTACCAAGCCAACCTCCCCCTCTCAGGTTGTCCCGACCATTCCTGAAGAATGCATAGTCACAGTTCTCAGGGCTCCCCCACTGTCACAGGCATTCAGAGACATGATGGACCACCCATATTAGGGACGGCATTAGAATCTAGTGAGCCAAGCAAGGGGTTTCAGGATCCCAGCCAAATCTCTGGATTATGGGATAATGACAGTCCAGGTAACTTTCATTCCTTCTCTGCTGCCGTGATTTCCCCAACTGTATAATGGGACTGACTATACTAACCTACTTTAGAAAGTAAGGAAAGATGGATAATAATGCTGAGTAATCATGCAATAATCCTGTCTGCTAACTTTACCCAAGCATTTAATGAGTATGGACTTCTCACACCAGATGATTTGCCTACTTAGGCGGGGTATCTGAGATAAAAAGTTAGAATTATGTGTCCAGGGCCTCAGGGTGAGAGCCCAGAACTAGATTTTCCCTGGTGGGTCTAGCTTGTGAATGCCAGACCACCCTACAGGGTCTGTAGGAATAGCTTCCTTTACTCCAGAATCACTGACCTCTGCAGGCTGGTGGTTCCTCCTAGACAGAGATCAACACTTTGTCCTCATCCTGTTTCCCCTTCGAGTGCCATGGCATTTCCTGGGCCCCTTTGTCTGAATAGAGACCATTTAACTTAAGTGCACAGCCCAGCCCATGGCTACAGCATTGTGAACTTTAGTGGTTTATCTTTCTCATTCATGTAACACTTTACTGTGTACTCTAAACAGTTTTTTGAGATTCAGTTTATTATGACTTGTGGGTTTCTGATTGGTTATTCTATGTAATCTCATTCAAAAACTGGATCATTTGGGAATCTGATGGTCTGCAAAGTTAGGTTCATTTCAGCCATCTGTGTATTCCAGAAGAGGAAGGGAGTGGAGCAGAGGACAGAATAAGTTCTCAGTCAACACTTTGCATATATTAGCAGACAATGGGCCCATGATTTAAATCGGGCCATCTACCACAATCAGTTGCCATTAAGTCTACTGTTGATTCCTGGTGACCCTGTGTGTGTAATAGTAGAACTGTGCTCCATAGGGATTTCAGTGGCTGATTTTTCAGAATTAGATCACGAGGCCTTTCTTCTGCGGTGCCTCTGAGTGGACTTGAACCTCCACCCATTCATTTAGGAGCTGAACATGTTAACTTTCTGCACCAGCCAGGAACTCAAATTGGGGCAAAGAGAATGGGTAAAGATGAGGAAAAAGAGTAGACAGTTATTGTGTCTTTACCAGTGGACTCAGATGGCAGGGGATTCAGGGTGAGGTGGGGATGGCAAAGATTTCTGCAGCTGTCAGGCCTGTGGTCAGGCCACTTAGTTGGTCAACAGGTGCACAGCCGCCTGACAGTGTTTTTGACTTTCACTGATGTTCTTCCTGAGTCTTGCTTGTGTTCACAGCTACGGCATTATGTTGCTTTTCATCTCACATCTCACCCCAGGGATCCTCTTTTGAAGAGCTAAAAAAGGAGAAAGACTCATGTTAACGTTGAGTTGTTTGACCCTGGATCTAGGAGTTGACCTTAGAAAATCCTAGATCATGTGATAGGAAACAGATACGGGTTTAGTCAGTGGATGAGGAGGAGAGCCAGAAAAACCACCTGGAACCTCCTGACAGAAGTCTGCTGGTCCACTGTGGCTGGCCCTAATCCTGAAACGGAAGCACCTCAGGATGTCTCTGTCAGGAGAGGGCTTTATCTCACCTGAAGGAGAAATTCCAAAATATGGCTGGATCTGCCCCTGGAACAGAGGGTGCTCCGACCCTACAGAAATGGCTCTCCAAGGATAAAAAGCCCCTTATAGCTTGCTGGCCCCCATTTTGGGTATTTATAAAGACATTGGTTTGTAAACAGTCTTTCAGTCATGTGTTATTTCAGACAACTGACATTAAAAAGATAATTGAAGTAATTAATTGATGTTTGCAAGATAAATAAAAGAAATTGCTTCTAAGTATGAAAACCAAACTCACTGCCATCAGGTCAATTCCAACTCATAGTGACCCCCTTTGGGTTTCCAAGGTGGTAAATCTTTACAGAAGTAGATTTCCCCATTTTGTTTCTATGAAGCAGCTGGTAGGTTTGAACTGCCAACCTTCTGGTTAGCAGTCAAATGCCTTAGGCACTGTGCCACCAGAGCTCCTTCAACTAAGTTCTCAAAATAACAAACAAATTCACTGCCGTTGAGTCAATTTGACTTACACCGACCCCACCTTGGGTTTCCGAGGCAGTATCACTACAGAAGTAGATTGCCCAACCTTCCTTCTGAGGAGTGGCTGGTGGGTTTGAACTGCCAGCCTTCTGGTTAGCAGTCAAATGCCTTAGGCACTATGCCACCAGAGCTAAGTTCTAGGTAATGAAAATATAGTCTAGTCTTTATATATATATGTAAGTAGCTGAAAGAAGACTTTAGATACATTCTGGGATGATAAATTAGCAATAGATAGTAAAGGTTAATTAATGAGAAGCTACCCTCCCCAGAATTACCTCCTGTTATAGAGCTTTTGCTGAGGACAGACAGACCTGTGGTAAGTAGGTATGGAGCAGAAGAGTGAAGTATAAAGTTCCCAGGTAGAGTGATTAGAGTGAGGAAGCCTCTACGGATTCCTCAGCGGACAGAAGTAAGACCCTTTCCCTGTGCCTGCATCCCCTGGGTTGGCTCTTTGGCTCTGAAGGCAGCTGTGGGAGCAGCCATCATGCCCACCTCACTAAGCTCCAGAGTTACTTCCCAGAGAAGACCCTGTGCTGCCCTGGCTGCTCTCTGCACTGTCAAAGAAAGGTGTCACTTGCCATTGTCTCCTGAGGAGTGAGCTAACCTCTTATTTTAGAACTAAGATTTCAAAAGATAGAAAGTACTCCCATCTAATACCTGGTCCTTGGTTTGTTATTGTTTCTCCACTGCTCCTCTGAGGCTTTTGTTGCTCCATGGTTTATATTAACTAGACCAGAATTCTAGAACTTTCCATTGCCCTTGGAAGCACTGTTCTTGACTACTAATTCAGAGTAGGTAAATTGTAGGGGAAGTCCTTGGGTGGTGAAATGATAACACATTCAGCTTCTAACTGAAAGGTTGAAGGTTTCATTTCACCCAGAGGTGCCTTGAAAGAAAGATCTGATGATCTCTACTTCTGAAAACTCAGCCATTGAAAACCCTATGGATCATAGTTCTACTTTGACACATACGAGGTTGCCATGAGTCAGAGTCAACTAACTAGCAACTGGTTGGTTGACTAGGTTGTGGGGTACTGTGTTAAGGTCAACTCCTGCCCTCCCCACATTACATCCTGTGTAGAAAGGATTAATGAGAATGAGGAAAGCCAGAAGGGGAACCTGAAGGAGTATAACCAGGGTATCCACTCCTGGTCTCTGCTTGTTATAAGCTCTGGCCAGTTGATCCTTCTTCATGTTACCCTGCTCAATGTCCTCTCCAACTGATAACAGACATGTGCTCCCTGCTTCTTCCCCATCTCCCATGCACTAGTCCCTTGCAAGGGGCTGACCTCAAAACCTGGGCTCTAATCCTATCTCACTGATTCTAAGTCCAACGTAAAGAGAATTGAGTCCTCTAAGGGAAAACAGTCAGAAGGAGACTACATATGTATTGGTGGCAAAGACTACATATGTATTGTCTTCTATTGTTTATTCCAAGGAGCTCTGGTAGCATAGTGCCTAAGGCACTTGACTGCTAACCAGAAGGCTAGTGGTTCAAACCCACCAGCCACTCCTCGGAAGGAAGATGCAGCAATCTACTTCTGTAGTGATACTGCCTCAGCAACCCAAGGAGGGGTCGCTGTGAGTCGGGGCCGACTCGATGGCACATAACAACAACAAGGGAAAACAAGTCATTTTCAGTACGTGATAGTCCAAGGGATTTTACCCAGGTTAGGTTTGGAAATACCACTTTAGGACAGACCATTTTCCATGAGCAGTAAGCTTCTTGGAGCTTCTCACGAGGCTGGTCAGGCTCAGGAAAGACATGTCAATTAGCAAAATACTTGGCCATTGACCTGGAGACTATAATAACAGAATGCTTCTCTTCTAATTCTAGTGAAGACAGAGTCATTGAGCACTACAAGAAACTGAATGGCCAGACAAGAGGTCAAGCAATTGTGAAGTAAGTGGACCTTCCCCATGCTCATGAGGCTTGCATTTGCTTGTGCTAATACATCATATGTCAAGATTGTTAAATTCTGATTGGGAAGGGGTATCTCTGGGGATGGTGTTTCTATTTAATTTTCAAGTAAATAACCACTCAGAGAACTTTATCACACACCAAAAAATGTATATGTATATGATACCAGTTCTGCTGACTAACTACCCTTGTGTACATTGTTTGTGTGTCTGTGTATTGTCTTCGCAATTCTTCAGCTACATGAGCATCGTGGAGTCTCTCCCAACCTATGGGGTTCATTATTATGCAGTGAAGGTAAGTGAACCCTCTTAAGAAAACATGTTTTGCAAAGGTTGTCAAGCCTGCCCTATAGCAAAAACAAGCAAACAAACAAAAATGTTTCTCATTTTTTCTTTTTAATCTTACTGAAATTTGTTTGTTTTTTGCACAAGTAGGGAAGAAACTTGGTCAGCAAGGTTGCATGCTAGGGGAGTTGAAGCTTTTTTGCACAAAGTAGGGAAGAAACTTGGTCAGCAAGGTTGCATGCTAGGGGAGTTGAAGCAACTGAATTTTATCACCGTTGTAGTAAGGCTTGACATAGTCACTTTCCAAAACTCATTTTCTTTTTGTGAAGTAGGTACACTAAATGACTGCTTCCCTTCATTCTGAGACAAATCCTGAGAGACCAGGAGTACTGTAATTAAGGGAACTGACTCCCCTCTTCCTCCTTAATTACTGAGGTGTTCAGCACACAGACTCCATCTAAATACAGTAAGAGAGAAAGAAAGCTGTAAGCAGCATCAAGAGTGTTTTTCTTGGTTGTCAAATGCATGTCAGGAACTTTATAGGAGAACTAGGATTATAGGATGACATACTGAGTATATAACTACATAAATCTTCTTAAATATTGTCTTGGCAGGTCCAGTGTGACATTGACCTCATTCTGAATTCTTACTAATTTTGTCTAAAATCCAGGATCTCTCCTTTGAAATAATAGTTATATCCCCAGATATCATTACATATATAAAGAATATGAAATATAAAAAGAAAAAAGAATATAATGATACTCTTTTCTGTGATGAGAGAGGTTAACTTCCCTCCCATCTCCTTCCTTAATGTATCCTTACATGGAAAGTTTAACACTAAATTATTACCAAAAATCCAGCCAAAAATGGCTTGTGCTTACCTTGAAATAACTCATATCCCACACTTCTGCACTCAAGAAAGTTCCACCAGCCAACCTGAGAGTTTCTTGTTTCTCTACCAGTTTCTTCCCCCTTTTCCACCCAGCTATATTTTTAATTCTTTAGAGTAGAACCCTTTTCCTTCACCTTTATGTCATTCATGACAGCTAGCCTAATACATTGCATGTCATTGGTATGCACTTAATTACCTATATTTCCACTATACCTAAGCCAATTGGTGGCAAAGACTACGTATGTATTGTCTTCTATTGTTTATTCCAAGGATCCCTGGTGGCACAGTGGTTAAAGTACTTGGCTGTGAACCAGAGGGTCTGCAGTTTGAATCCCCCAGCCACTCTGCAGGAGAAAGATGTGGCAGTCTGCTTCTGTAAAGATCTACAGCCTTGGAAACCTGTGGGGCAGTTCTGTCCTGTCCCATATGGTCACTGTGAATCAGAATTGACTGAGTGGCAGTGGGTTTTCAATTGTTTATTCCCAGAACCTAGTGTAGTACCTGGCACATAGTAGATAACTCACTCAATATTTACTGAGTAAATATTTACTGAGAAATTAATTGAATAGTTGGATGGATGCAGTTCCATGATGGGAACAAATGTCAGAACAACCTTATAGAGCCCAGAACTATGAGGCATATACATAGATTCCAGTCTAATACAACAGCTTGGCTCAGGAACTTTTAAACCCTGAAGTGGTTAAATTCTTCTGATGTCCTACCAGTGCCCCTTTTACCACTGGGATCTTTAAATCCCTCTTCATCATCTCTGAAGGAATTCATAGAACCATCACAACCATCCCTGCCCTTCTCAAGCATAAACAAGAGGTTTGAGAAATGTGACCAGGTCTCCTAAGCTATCTACTATCCCACACAAGAAAGTGAATCTTCTAAGGAGACTACCCCTGCTATGCCCTGAGATGTGTCCTCTGAAGTTGGTGAATAGTCAGCTCCCCAAAGGGCCATTCACTTGCTCATGACAAGAGTTTAGAATCCACTGTGCTGGCTGCCAGTGTTAAGCATACTGCTGCTAAGAGCTGTGAAGTCAATTTTTGTTTTCCTTTATTATGACCGTAAAGAAAGCGCAAGGACCCAACAACAGATAACTCCTGACATTGTAAGAGGCACTTCATAGAAATCAAACTAAGAGCTTTTCTCTCAATTACGGAAATATTCTATGGGGATGTGTAACATGAGGTCTGTATTTATGAATGGGAATCAGGAAGGTAGGAATTCCTGTACTGCAGTTTCTGATTTGCTATTCATTCTAAGTTTACTCTCACCTCTCTCATATCTAAAATAGAGATTAAGAACTTTGCCCAACAACTCCCACAAGTCTCTGGATACTGGAAAACTATTTGACATATATGACACTTCATATAGTCTTTAAACTTGTTTAAACTTATGGTGCATTTCTTAGTCAGCACTAGAGCTTCACATAGACTACCTCTGATATATTTTCCTTCTGCCTTCCCATAAAACTTTCAAAATAAGTTATTTTGCAGTTTGTTAGTGACCAAACCTAGGCTTACAATTTTCAAAGGACCAAATGAATATGAGGGTTTGGCTCTTGGAATCTCTGATCGTAAGCAATTGCTTTATAACTTACTTAGAAAAAAAACACATGAGTCCAAGAAGCCTAAATCAACCATATCAAGGCTCCTTGTTTGGTGGCCTTATGAACTCACGGATGCTGTATTTTATGGTATGAGGACAACAGTAACCTAGTCAGTCTGATGTTGTTGTAGTGAGATTTCTCCTGTTCTTGTCTCTGAAGGCATTTTAGTACATACATATGCTTCCAAGACACCAAAGTTTAGGACAAGGATTTTATGCCTTTAAGATTTTTTTTAAAAAGAAATAATATACCCTGGAGTGTTAAAAAAAAAAAAAAAACTAAATTTATTTCATTTGTCTTCATCTTTGTGCTTACCTTGAAATAACTCATATCCCACAAATATTTAAAAGGGAGCTCTGGTGGCATAGTGCCTAACGCATTTGCCTACTAACTAGAGGGCTGGCGGTTCAAACCCACCAGCCACTCCTCAGAAGGAAGATTGGGCAATCTTCTTCCATAGAGATATACCACCTCAGAAACCCAAGGAGGGGTCGGAAGCCAAACACATGAAAAGATGTTCCTTACCATTAACCATCAGAGATTTGTTGTTGCAAAACAAAATCACAGTGAGATACTATTTCACTCCCAATAGGATGACCAAGATAAAAATTTTTAAAATAAATAAGTAACCAATGGCAAGGATGTGGGGAAATTGGAACCCTTATCCACTGCTGCTAAAAATGCAAAATGGTGCAGTTGTGAGAAACAATGTAGCAGTTCCTCAAAAAGCTAAAAAGAGAACTACCATATGACCCAGCAATTCCACTTCTGGGTATATACCCAAAAGGCTTGAAAGCAGAGACTCTAAAAGAGACATGCTCACCGATGTTCATTGTAGCACTATTCACAATAGACAAAAGGTGGAAACAACAGAAATGCCCATCCACAGATGAATGGATAAATAAAATGTGGTATATACTTATGATAGGAGCTCTGGTAGCATAGTGCCTAAGGCACTTGACTGCTAACCAGAAGGCTGGTGGTTCAAGCCCACCAGCCACTCCTCAGAAGTAAGACTGGGCAATCTACTTCCATTAAGAAACTGCCTCGGCAACCCAAGGAGGGGTCACTGTGAGTTGGGGCCGACTCGATGGCATACAACAACAACAACATATACATATGATGGAATACTACTCAGACAGTAGGGGCGGTGAAGTTTTAATACATACTACAGTATTGATGGTACTGAGAGACATTATGCTGAATAAAATAAGTCAGTCACAAAAGGAGAAATATTCTATGACATCACTTCAATAAAAAGACAAGAAAAGGCAAATGTATAGAGACCAAAATTGTAGTGATTAGGAGGGAAAGGGAGAAGGGTTAATGTGATGGAAA